AGAGGATGCATCCAGCACCAATGATACTTGAGCAATTCATGCGAAATTTCCTTTGGCACGTTTGTCTTTGCGGCGCCATTTGCAATTGCAAAAGGTTCAATCTGTCTTTGGTGAGTAGCATTTAAGATTAGATCTCGTTTTACACGCTGATCCTCGTGCAGATTTCCACTATAACTGAGCTGGGCAGCTATAGGCGGGTGATGGCGTTGACTTGACGGTGGTTCGTGGATGGGAGACGTCGAGTTGTGAAACGTTACACCTCCGCTGTCGTCCACACTAATGTCGGCTTCCCACTTGATATGTCGATTCCGATGTGCCAAAGCTTGACCTGAACTTTGAGATCCGGCAGTTTCGCTAGCGGGCGATGCTGAAGGCAGCTTCTTGTCATCGTGAGACCCGGCCTGGCCCCATCCGTCAGACACCCCTGAGAGCAAGACACAACAAAGAGGCTACTTCGTACCCGGCTTAGCCAAACTTGGGTCTTGGCTTGTCGCAGTTGCGCCTTCAGTTCCTGGATTTCCTCCTCTAAGGATCGCACGTAGGCGAGTGAGGGCGGTTTGTCATAGTGACAGTCGTCTTTGTATGCGATGCACCTACAGGTCGCATCAGAATTATCGATCCGACGCACATTGACCGTCGCTACTCACGTGGTGCACTTGGGTGTTTTGCCGTCGCATTTCGACTATTGACAGGTTAGCGATTTATGCGAACGCTTCCGGGGGCCACCAACTGCCCCCCTTCCGCCCTTCCACCAGGCTGAAGATTGAACGAAGAGGGGTGGGTGATCAATGATACCTTTCTTCTACGGCAGCCAGCGCATGTGGACTTGCGATGCTTGGATTTGGGTTTTTGTTCGACTTCGGTAGGCATGTTTGAGTATGGGACGGCAGGAGATCAAGTCGGGATTGTGAAAGTTGGGAGAGCAGAGAAATAGCCAAAAGTCAAGTTGAGTTCATGATCAAAGCCTCGTAGGGCGATGAGGGACTTTGAATGGCTTTGTTCTCCTCACGAGATCAGAATCAGAATTGGAGACAAGGTCCGTCAGCAAAAGTGCCACCCCTGTCTCGTGTCTGGAGAGCTAGGATATTTTTTTAATACAGAAGCCGGCATGGGAAGGCAAGGTATTGCTTAGCGTCATGCGAGGGCGATTGTCGGGGCAGCAGACCAAACGAGCCTGAATAGACAAGGGTCAAAAACTCTGCGGGATGGCGGATGAGCAGTTAGGGGATGATACTAGCAACCACCTGCACTGGGAAGGGAAAGTACCATCTGATGCTGAGTTACTTCTCTTTCTGGAACAGCAAACATGGGACGCGGAAGCCACATTTCTCGAGAATGAGTTCAGAATGACCGGGGGGAGTGGTGGGTTCGAAAGCTTAGGGCACGAGTAGTACGAGGTGTAGGCCGGGGGGGTGTTGTGGGTGGTGGGTGGTGGAGGACGGCGGCGCAGGGCTGCGTGTGGTGTCGTGGGATGACGAGTTCGGTCTCTTCCTTCTCTTTCGCCTTCTCTTTCTCTCCAAAAAGCTCGCAGCTGGACTAGAAAGGGCAGAAGGTGATGGGCCAGTCAAACGGGGGACAGCTGCTCGACATAGCCGAAGCCGCAGCGAACACGCAACCGTCCGGGAGGGAGCAGGTGAGCAGGGATGAGGCATGGTGATCAGGATCTGAGGGAAGTCCGACCCGTGTTGCAAGATGCGCCCCAGCGCCGAGCGACACACCTTCTCAAAAGCGCAAAGGGTAGAGAGAGGAGCTTCTGGGAACTAGAGAGAGCTACCCGCCGCTTTGACGAGTATTGGGCTGATCAAGAGGGAGTTGGGGGGATAATGGTGAGTAGGGGTCGTGATGACGGGGATGGCCAGGAGAGAGGAAGGCACAGGAGGCATTAGAGGCACTAGAGCAGGGGATAGATCGGGTTCTATGACATGCTGTGCATTAGCGGCATTTGTTAATATGTACAGGCTACTGGGTACGAGGTAGTTGAGCAAAGATTCTTACTGAGAATGGACCTTGACGAGAGAAGCAAGTTGAGTGCTAGTGAGATAGTGCGGTACTGGTACCCGTAAAACAACAATACCGAATGTTAGAAACAAGAAGACTGACCAGAGAGCCCTATTGTTGGTAACTTGGTATACTGTAGGAAACAGTCTCTGCGAACCTCTTGATCAACCACTCTTGAAACCTTTTCTCTCTCTCTCTCTCCCCAACGCTATTATCAAACCACAACTACTTCAACAACGGGCAGGTGACGGTGGATGGTGCACCCGACCCAAGGCCCAAGGAACAAAGCCCAAGAGAGAGTTTTGGTCCTTCTCCAACCAGTCAAGCGCCATCGAACCTGAACGAACCAACCATCTTGCCCTTCTGCCAACTCACCTGTCCAACGGCTTTGACACGGACTGACTAAAACACGGCGTCGACTGCGATCACCACCGATACTCCCCGTGGATGATGGACTGCTCCTGCCACTGCCCGCTGGCGCCTTACAAGTGGCAATTTCTCAACAGCTTCAGATACTAATTGATGATTGACGGCCTTGCTTCCCCCTTTGTCATCAAATAATAAGAAAACCATCGCCTTGTCATCTCCGGCCCAAACTGCTGGAACCCCCCTCCCACCCAAGAGGAGAAAAAGGTCAACGGCAGACAAGCCTCTGCCACATCGTCATAACATCTCGCTGAGTTTCACGAACACGAGTCGGTCAGCGATAGGCAGGATGGGCCATGCAGGGTCAAAACCCACGTCTGGTTAGGTCCGACCTCCCCCAACCGACGGGGAACCGACCTCTCAGATCGCCCTTTAGCCTTATGTTGACCGTGTCATCGTGGGCTGTATTGTCTGGTTTCCATGTAATCCAGCCTGCTCATGGCTCACTGCTCATGTCTGAACGCCTCGAGCCTCAGGGCTTACGAGCAGAGGGGGAGCTAAGTAATACGTAATCACAAAATTTACAAACCCCCGGACGCTTCCTCCTGCATGGAAACTCCTGGTTCTTCTGTCTATCCCAATGTGATCGATGCCAAAGCTTCGAGAAACTCGAAACCTGGCCCGGCAGACCATGGCCGCTGCTGGTGCTTTTCCCAATGGTGCTCTTGCGGATCCGCACCGTCGATCTCTCTGAACTTGAACGAATACGGAGGCTCGGCCCAATCGATACAATGGTGTTGGGGTTCTATCCCCAAGTATAGGAGTGGTCAGCACTCTATTCGACATAAGCACTATCTGCCTCCCGCTTGCTCCATGCCTGAAAGCCGGACGTTCAGTGAGTCGACGGCCGCCCTTGCTTGCCACGAGGGGGCCGAGTTATCAACCACTCTCAATCAAAAGGTATGGACTTGAATGGATCCAGTAAACATGTCCCGACCATGGGCGACTTACCTTCCGGCGTCCACCAGCCCTGTTCTGGAGTTTTCCTCTGGAGAATCCCGGTCGATTTTCGAGCCCACCATGCCTTGGAATAGCACACAACCTGCAATCACGAAAGCATGTCTTTTCCCCATCGCCAACGTTAGATAATAAACTTCCGGGTCACAGGCAAAACTATCTACCAATTTCTGCATCATATGCAACGTCGGATATTCATTATCCAGCCTGACTAACCCTTCTATAGCAAATCGTGGCGTCCCAGCGGCGCTGATATCCTAAGGACAAAGGGCGCCAACCGGGACGCTGGAAAACAAGGCTAACGTTCTGACACTGGGTCCGTGGTCCTTTTTCTTTCTCCGACCTCAACGAACATTTCGAGATTTCCACTCCCTCTCGATCTTGATCAACCAATTGTTTCATGGTAATCCCGAAAGGACCAGCCTTTCGATAGGCGCTCCGAACCGTTGTTCCACTGAAAGACCTCTGTGAGATGACCACCCTTCTAATGTCTGCATCTCTAAAATTGGCGCGTCTCGAAATTGGTCGACATTCGTTAGACGAAGCCTCGCAGCTGGATTCCCACCTGTGCATCCCCATGAGTTCTCGTGGAGAAGGCCACGCGCATGATGGGTGCCCGAAATCTTACAAATCAATAATTACCAGGCTCGTGAACCCTGTCAGTTACCAGTACACGCTGTACTCGTCGGTGCTAGTGCTCAGCCTCCTAGCTTGCGAATGCCAGACTCTCTAATGGTCTGTTTGAGGAAGGACCATTGCACGCTTGCTATTGGGCCCAATTGCAACTCCCGCGCTGTCGTTTTCCAGTGACGTCGATTTCGAGTCAGGTTAGGGGGAGTCAGAATGCTCGCACAAGCCCGAGGCATTAATCTCTCAAAGCCTTCCAAGATTTCGAAAACAGGCTAAGCGGCGACTCTGTTGTCAAGCGTCGCGGACCGCTCATGCGCCCAATCTTCACAGCCGATATCCGGGGTTCTTTGAAGGATCGGTCAGGATCGGTCTAACACCACCAACACCTTTGCTGGACTTAGTCATTCGACTCAAGGTTAGTGAACCCAAAATGCGTGTTAAAGAGGCTAAATTGCCCCTCCTCATGCACAAGGTGACTTAACCAAAAGTACGTGCAATGCAAGGACGCAGGACAGGAAAGGGATGTACCGTCTGCCAGTCACAGATGGGCCTATTTTCTCTGAATCTGAATTCATGCCCAATCACGTGTTCCCCCATTTTTCGTCGGGCAGTCGAGAGTGGCTATTCTTGTGAGAGTTCAAGGTGCTTTTCCAAATCTCTTGACCTCCATCTTGGTGGATTTGCTATAGTCCCCTGCATCAAACGAGTGGATGAAGTCAAAGATGGTGTTATCTTGACTCTATATTATCTCAAGGATCCTGCTCCGCCATGGAGGCGACTTTGACTTTCCCACGTTCTGGACCTCCTAGCTCAGGTCAAAGCCATGGACAGCAAGCAATTCTTCACAGCCATCCCATTGATCGGTGGACTCTACTAGCTGAAACCGCCGGCCTCGACGCCAGCCTTGGAATTCTCGAGATGTGGTCCAAGTGCTCCCGCCCCAAGTCAACGCCCTGCTGCTGATGAACAGAGAGACTGCCCACACCTGCTCATACCAAGTGCAGAGCTCTGTGGCCAGGCAAAGCCAGATCCTTCTGCACGACAAAGGTGACGGCCATGATCACTAGTGTGGACCCATCGCATCTACCCCGCGTTGTCAAGGTCTTGAAGATTCGACGATCCATGAAATCTAGGCCACTGTCTAGCAAGACGCTCTCCTGGGAAGAACGATTCTCGCGTAGAGTGGTGTATCTCGAGTCCTCAAAGCAAGAAATGTCTGCCGCGTCGTACACCGCAGCACCACGGCGGATCCAATCCCCGCCTTTATACTGTTGACGAACAGGGAAGAAATCAAGCACCATGCGCAACGGCCCACGCTCCGTCTCATAATAATTATGATGCTCTTCCCGGCTCAAGGTCCCGTCGGGACGGCTTGACACGAAGAAGGACCCAGGTACAGAAGGATATCGGCGTGAATCTGCCTTCCCTGACGACCCAGGGAGTTTGTTGTCGCTGGTCCATGTGTTCATCCTGTTGAGGTGGTCTTCGATAACAGTATGGCTTCTCTGACCCCAAACCTGAAAAGCGGAGGATTTCTCTGCTCAGAATGTCGCCTCGCCCTGTTGATCCTGGATCACCTCATCGTCGTTGCAGTCGAGGCAACGGCGGAGCTGATTAGCCCTCCATGAACCGTCCGGAAAGTGGCCGGTCGGGTGCTATTTCGCAAGGGGAGGTTTCAAAGGCCGCGTAAATCATCAGTAGACCTGTGCTTCCAGGTATGTACTTGTAGTACATAAGTCTCACTGGACCCTTCTGGCTTCTAGACTCCAAATCTCCAAATTCCAGACTCCGGTGCCGTGGTCTGAGGTCTCGGGCTAGGTGAGATACTATTCTCAAAGAAAGCGAAAACCAACAGAGAAAACGACCTGTTGCCGGGTTGTACTCGGTAATTGCCTTCCAATGATACAATGAACAATAATCGACTGCGGCAAAGGAAAACTTGGTTCTCATCTCTGGCTCTGGTCACCCTTTGTTGACCCTTTCTGGCTTCTGCTGAAGGTTCGTCATGTTCTAAAGACAAACACAGAAGCAGCCTGGTGAGTATTTCGTTGACTTGGGCTCGGGCGGGTCTTTACTCTTGCCTCGCGTTATTTCTTTCTACCTAGGTGAAAAGAGAAAGAGAGAGATGGGAGAGAGAATCGGATTGCTTCGGATCTCCTCAGCACTGTCGCAGTCTCCAGTCTGGTCAATATCCTTTTTTTAACATGCGGGTTCCTGGCTTGTCACCTACCTAATACCTGTACCTAATCATTAGGCTGTTTTCTCTGCTGACTTTACCGACCATGCCAGGGGTGCGGCCGTCCATTGCCACGGAACTTTGTTGGTGCGCCCAGCCCACCAGCCCTATAGTTTCGTTTGGAAAGTGCGCCCTGGCCATGCCTATCCGAGGCTGGTGACGGTCCCTCAACCCTCCATATTGTTTTCCCTGGTCATGCTCACTCACAGGTATTGCAGCATCACGGGCATGTCCACAGTTCCCCTAGGCTCACTGCGTTGCTCGCAAACTTCATGCAAGAATGCCATCCAAAATATCCCCGTTCCGAAAGTCTGCTGCACCTTGCCACCTACCGCCCGGTCGCCCGCACTCTCGACCTGGCGTCTCAGAGCACGCATGCCATTGCTCACCAGCAGTAGCCCAGTCCTGAAAAGGACTTGGTGCTGATGAGCTTTCTCTCTGTTTATCGAAGCTCTGGTACGCCGCCGAGATGCTTAGAACTTTCTCGCGGATGTCAAGACGACATATCTACTCTGTTGTCTCGTGTCGCTCTCCCACCTCGTCCTAATCACGGCTACCCACAATCTGCAAGATGGAGAAGCCAAGTATGATCGAAAGAAACTACAGTGACTCTGGGACCTTGGCGGCGGAAGAGCTGGGAACCATTGAACCCCATGGAACACAGCGAGAGTCTCTGAATCCTCGGCTGTCTGAAGATCCGCAGGATCCTCTAAACTGGCCTCTGTGGCTCAAGGTTGGCCCATGGAATCTGTCCTTGAAGGTCCAGAACTTCTGTTGATCATCTGCAGATTGTCATATTGACCCAGACGTCCCTTCTTGCCGCAATTGGCGGTCTGAACACGGCTGCCATCAACCCCGCCTTGGTATTGCTGGCCCAAGACTTTGGGATCAGCAAAGTTGCCGCTTCGTATCAGACGTGAGTCTTATCTTGACGACACCTCCTCGTCCACCAACTGCTGACTTTGCACCAAGCACTGTCTGTATAGCCCTCAACGGAATAGCCCCTTGGCTATGGATTCCACTTTCGAACAAATATGGTAGACGGCCTGTTTATTTGGCTACGACTTTCTTGGGCTTCGTTTCCGCCCTGGGCTGCGCCTATACCAGGTCTTATGGTCAGCTCATTGCTGCCCGGATCTTCAATGGCTTCTTCCCAGTTGCTTTTGCCCTGGGTGCTGCAACCGTCGTGGACTTGTTTTTCTACCATCAGCGCGGCAGAGCCATGGGCTTTTTCACCGTGACCATGGTCAATGGAAGCCACCTAGCTCCCATTGTCGGGGGCCTGATGGGCGAGTACTGCGGCTGGCGATGGATCTTCAAGTTCGTGGCCATTGTGGACGGGATCATGTTCACCACCGCTTTTTTCTCTCTTCCAGAAACACTGTACATCAGGAAAAGGTCTGTCGGCGCGTCGAAGCCCGACGTGCTCAAGCTGCCGACTGAGCATCCGCCTCGATTCACAAAAGAAGTCTATTTCTCCCGTTTGCAACTCTATTCAAGTTTCCCTGAAATCAGACTGAGGCTCAATCAGTTTGTGTTTCCGGCGCTGAAGATGATCAAATATCCCTCAGTCCTGTTTCCGGCTCTATATTACGCCACAATGTATGGGTTTGCATCCATTCTGCCCGCGGTCACTGTCGCAGCAATCTTCACAGAGTTCTTCCATTGGAATACACTGACCATTGGCCTCACTTTCGGCGCATCTCTCACCATTGGAGGAATCCTCGGCGAGTGTGTCTCGGGCTGGGTCGTCGATCGCATGGTCAAACGAGAGCGAAAGCGACTAGGCCGTGATCCGGAACCGGAGGTTCGACTCAAAGCCATCTGGATGGGTGAGATGATCGTGCCTGCTGGACTCTTGATCTACGGCTTTTGCCTGCAATATCGCACAGTGTGGATTGCGCCCATACTCGGGATGGGTATCGCCTGCTTTGGCCTGCAGATCATCACAACGACGACATACACATACGCAATTGATTGTTACCGCACAGAAAGTAGTGAGGTTGCACAGCTGTTCAACTTTATCCGTCAGGAAATTGGCTTCACTTTCGCATTCTATGTCGTCCGCCTGGGGAATAAAATCGGATACCAGTGGACTTTCCTCATGTTCGCTCTCATCGGCGGGGTATTGGCCTTCATTCCAATGCTCTTCATCATTTTCAAGGGAGAAAAGTGGAGAAAAAGACTTGGAAAGCCAGTGGGTGTCAATGTCCTTGACAGCATGACGACCACAACGGGCGAGCATAATCATGCCTCCGGACGGAACGACCTCGGCCGGGCACAAGGGCCAAAATGCGAGACGAGATATGGGTAATGAAACGCACAAGGGAATGGCAGAACATGGGATTCCAAAATCCCATGCCACTGGCAGCAGGCCTGTCACGCAGTGCCTCAGCTAATGCAAGTCATCTGCACCGTGACCAGATCTCCTGCAAGGCAGATGGAGCACGATGTCGGCACGACCCCGCGGGAACAACGGCTATCAGTGCTGCACGTCAGTGGTACATATACATGACATATACGAGGTGACATCTCACTGACAAATCTGGGTATCCCGATGGTGTGTATCGGAAGCGAGGATGGCGCCAGTTGTCCGGGGGTTCTGCGTGGGAGGGTTGTGTCCCTGAAGCTTCTTCTTGTTAGATCCCGGAGATTTCGCTGGTACATCCCCCCTCTCCCCTTAGTTGGGCTCCCAATGGGTGTGGAAGATGGTCCGCCCGGGAGGACTCCGGAGTGCATCATCAACCAACCACCAGTCTATCTTTCATCGTTTAAACTTCGGACAGATTAGAATCACCGCTGGTGAAGAACACTGCAGCGGCACGGCCGTGGGATATCCGTTCATTTCCGCTTGGGTTCCTTATTCTGTTGCCTAGCCGCAATCAATTCAGCCAGCCGTGGTCGTACCGGAGTCTGCTGTAAGAGAGCGGTCATAAAATGGCGGCAGGGGGTGAATCTAGCCTGCAAGGCCCTTCATCTGTCCGAGATATGTTGGGCTAGAAGGCCCTCCACAGAGAAAGCCTGCAGGGTCCTGCGAAATCTTCCATTCACAATCGCCCCGGAAGGAAGAAATATCCAATACTTTGTTTTTGCGATGAAGAGAGTCTCAAGGAACGCCCCATCGCCCGAATCTTTCTTGGATCTAGCTGACCTAGGAGAGTATCTCTAGTATTCCCGTGCTTTCCGGCCTTTGAGGCCGGTGTTAGAATCATCGGTATATCAAATGTTGGTGAAGGGGCAAACCCCCTTTCATTTGCGATGGCAGCAAGCCGAAAGGTATTGAACCCTCAGCCCGTGAAGTCCATGGTGTTCTGGACAAGACTGCCTTATTTTTCAAGCTCAAGAAGCCAGAGAGACAACAGGATAATCAGAAGGGCTTCGGACTTCCTACTCTCCTCGACACCCTTGACAAGGTAGTTTTCTTTCTTCTCATTCGGTCAGAACCATGGCTACGTTGACCTATCCATACGCAATATATCTCTTTGAGACAACCCCTTACCCTGACGCCATGGCAGCGCGCCACAGCCAACGGTCCGTAGTCATCTTGCTTCACAAGGTATCAGAGAGTTCTGGCTCTGAGGACACTTCGCATGGAGAGACGGAGTGGAGGACGGGATTGTGTGTCACGATACGACTCGTGCGTACTACACCCAGTTGTTCTCTGAGTCATGGCCTAGGTGGAGATCTCTCTCTACCTCTACACCATCGAACACCAATAGACTGGCCGGAATACGGCCGCCCTTCGAGGTTCGAGATAGCCACGGCGGCAACTACTCCTTGTTCACATGGGACGTTCGAGACCGAAACTCTCAAACGTCCATTTCCTACTAGCCCTCGAGGCTTGCCAGCCAACGATACCATCCCCATGGAGTTCCTATGAGGAGCCTAATGAGCTAGCTCTGGGTCATAGGTCAAGAGTAGACCGAACTTGAAAGATTCCCAAACGGAGTGACTCCGCTAGTCGAGATTGCTGTCTAGGAGAATGGAGTACTTTATACGCAAATGCGTGATCATCCCTGGATCCCGATTCCATACAGCAAAGGAACCCAAGAGGTGTTGTCTCCACCTTTGGGGACGGGCCAGCTTCCATTGGGGGAGAGAGGAAGGAAAAAAGAGAAAGGCAGAGACGAAGAGTCTGCCAACCTACCTAGGCAGGTGGTGCCTTCCAATAACGTACCGGTATAGAGGGAGTCCTGGCAAGTCGCAATTCAGGTGAGGTCAGAAATGTGAGGAGCGGTAGTGGTGTTAGTGAGGTAAGGTGAGGTGAGGCGAGGAGAGGTAAGAAAATAAGGGGACGAGAGGGGAGATACGCGGCAAAAGACGGCTAGAAGAAGATGATGAAGGGGAGGCACGCAGGGAGGTCCTTGGAATTTGGACTCTGGGTCCTAAGGGCCGGGGGAGGAATGGGCTTGAGAGAGAGGGAGAGAGAGAGTCGGGACCGTTGAGAGGACGGACATTCGCCGGGCCGGGTGGAGAGGGAGCAAAAACGTGTGGAGCCCTAAGGACGATATGGCCTGCCTACTCATAGTAAGTAAGAGCACAACCAAAATAAAAATCATTAATATGGAAGCGAGTACAAGTATCAGTCAAGAGGTAGGAGAGGCTGTACGTAGCTGCAAGTCCAAGTCAGTCGAGGGCGACATCTCTCTTGCTACATCCGAGGAAGGTACATACTGGGTGGTCGGTGACTACACCTATATCCTATATATCCTCGCGGCGACAAGGCTCTGGCTCTTTATCTACGTTCTTCTTTCCTCTATGGACGTAGGAAGGCTTGCGTGTATCCAAGAGAACAGAATAAAGGTCGTAGTAGTCTCGTACGTAATACCGAGTAGTTAGAGGACTTGTAAAGGCGAAGGAGACACGGAAGGGAGGAGGGACAGAGGGATTATGGAGCCCCTGTTATTCCGATTGCCACAGTCTCTATATAACAAGGACCCCTTGTCACCCTGTTCTGTCCTCCGTACTGCCACTCTGCATGTAATATGATTCCTGGGCTCAGCTCAGATCAGCTCACCACGATAGACAGAATGAGGAACCGTCTACCACTATCCCCAACAGAGACGGAGGGCAAGTCTCCATGTCGATGCCAAACCAAGGTGTGTACTCCTATACTCTGTCCTGTATGCATGCTTCCTCAGCTCAGCTCATCACGATAGATGGAATTTCTCCTGGGTCTGGGAACTGAAACATTGGTCTCAACGGGCCTGGAAAAGGGGATAGCGAGGGTCCAGATCTAGTCATGAGATTACCAGGGAATGCTTTCAATGCCATGTCGATTGCTGCTTTATTGCTGTGGAGTCAGTAAGCTATATCCTTGTACACCTGGTGCAGTTCTTCATCTGTCGATCATCTGTTGCGGTTTGCACACAACTAGTATTGAAACGGCAAACCTCTCACTTTCACTCCGACCTCTGTCCATCTCAAGCCACAGACGAATCCTGGCGAGCCAGCCACTCTTGGGCGGTTAAATCAGCTCTTACCGCCTTTGCTGTGATCAACTCTGTCGATTCGTCCTAGTCTTCAAAGTGAAACCTAGCATTTCCGCTCACGACCCTCATCACTCTGGCCTCAGTACCTGCTTCAAAGTTCTCTTCTCCCACCCGATCGGCTTCCAGCTCGTCCCTCCACATATTATCTGAAGTCAGAGGGAATGTCTCTGCTCGGGTTCTTCCATTGGCGGCATCGTCACCCTGAAGAGCGGGTTGCGTAAACCGACTTTCGTGTCTCATCCTCAACCGCTGCAACCGAACGCCTTCAGCCCGCACACTTCTCGTCAACTCCCTGTTCCGCCGATTACGCAGACTGATGGCTCGTGCAGTGGGACTCTGCTGCGCAGCTTCTTGATCCCAGCCTTGTCGGCCATGGTATGAAACAGAGGCAGATCCGATACGGAGCATCCCCGGCGGTGCGGCATAAGCAGCGTTTTGCTCAGTGATCAATGGATACCTTGAAATATCAGCGGGGGTTTGTGGTTGAGAGTTTGCGGGAAATGAATCATTATACACCGTGTAGACATTGCCATCCGGATATTGATGTCTTGAAGGTCGTGGCTCAGTACGCGGCAGAGCAACAGCATGGCGAATCGGCGTTGGTGTGCCTGGCAACCGATTTGAGCTGGGAGAAGCCTGTTGCTGCTCAGAGTCGTCCCTTGCCGGTGTCATTGGAAGAGGAGGGGAGCTCGACATATCAGTTACGGAATACATGTGTCCGAGGAGGTCGCTGCTTCGACGGCGCACCATAGTACGATCAGCAGGGTTTGTATTGTATGTATCTGCGGAACCATCCCCTGGCGGTGAATCCATTACCGGACTCGCGAACATGATGTCTTGTGCTGATTGTGTCCGAGCCGTGGTCCAAAGGGGCGGTGTCAGTCCAAAGGGCACGCTGTCTGGCGTATCGTCCAAGGAGATTCGATTGATACCGCCTAAGATATGATCCTGGGTCAATGGATCCGTCACAGAGTCTCGCTCGGAGGATTGATATGGGTAAGTATGACTTCGCCGCTTGTACTTCCTACGTATGGGAGTCACCGTCGGCGCAGGAACAGTCTTTTCTCCTTCCGGGTCGGCAGAAGGACGCTCTGGTGACACCGCCTCGGCAAATCGCAGCAGCGAGCTTTTACGAGGAGCATGCCGATTGATGTAAAAGGTTGAAGCTGTTGACTCGGGAGACATGGGCCTACCGTCCTGGGAATCTTCACCCTGGTGAGCGAGAGTCTCTGGAGTATTGTCTTGTGGCTCGCCAATGTCTCCAAGAAGGTCTGGAAAGCAGGAGACCGGCTCATCTATGGACTCGGAAGAACCGCGCAGAGCAGGGCTTTGAATCTTGAATTTGCCTCGGTCACCTTCTTGCGGCGACGGGCGGGGACGAAGGTAGGACAGTTCGGCGGTACTCGAGATGGACAGGTCGAAGCCTGGTAGACCGGGATAGACCGAATCTGCCGCAGCCTTGCGGTAGTCGTTCAGATAGCGAATAATGTCTTCCTTCTTGAAGCCTTGCCTCAACAAGCCTTGGTAGATCTCTGTTTGTCGTACGTGGAAATCAATATCGCTTCCTGAAATGGACAGGCTGCTGGGTGGTAAACGAATCATGATGCAGTAGTTAGCAATGAGACAGGATTCCGGATACGAATCCGACTTGGTACTGAGATACCTAGGCACTGAGGTCGGGGTCGAGGCAGAAGTGTGTTCTCGCTACTCTGTGTCCATGGGACCCTCGGGCAGACAATCGCCACGGCTTGCACATTGGGCTTGGGAAGGAACGTCGCCTTCGCAGTATCCAGCATCCTCGTCAAGCAATGGGAGCAGGCAGGAGCGACAGACCTGGCCACGGAAAGATGTTCCCCTACCTCTGACATTGATAGCAACATTTGACGTAGACACGATGGCGATATTGGGTTGAGGCTGACATGGATGGGTTGACATTGAATCACATCTCCCTCCACGCAATCCTTCCACGTCTGCCCATTCGAGACGGTCGTTCTGGAGAAGGCGCAGTGCATACTCGGTCCAACAAGAGGAGAAGCTGTCGATAGACCACCAACCCCGATTGCGCAACAGGGGAATCTTTCTACAGATGGGGGAGGCGGGTGTCTGGTGGATGTCTTGGTGGTCACACGAACTCCACTGCAATCTTCCCATCTGGCGTCAATTTGCGCAGCCAAAGAGGAAGAAAATGGCCATCAAGTAATTAATCGTTGTGAATATAATCAGTGCAATGCTCGGTACATACATATATACATACATAGTCTCAGCACGAAGATCGCGTCTCGACTGCAGTTCTCTCGGCTAATCGGTGGCTAATCTGTCCTGGGGACTGCGCTGCGCCGCAGCGAGACCCAACATCCATCCATCATCCTTGCGAACCTTTGGAAACCATCAATTCGTTACCGGCTGCACTAATTCACCAACTACTGTTCTTCTTTATTCAATCACTCTCTCCCCACGCTCGCTACCGCACCTCAAGCTCTTCGCCCTCAGCGCCGTCGTCCTCTTCTGTGCTGTCCGTCGAGCGGGCGCCCTGGATCAGACTCGTGTGTCCCAGATCAGATCAAATCCAGGGGACTCGCAATCCACAATCTGAAACGACTCGCAATCTGTCTTGAATCCTCGCATCTGGAAAAAGAACACACACTCACCCTCTCACTGCTGCTCTGAATGCCGCAGCGATGAGGACACGAGACTCTCTCCTCTGATCCAACCGCTCACCACCGAGACGTCATTGGGCACCTCATTCCTCCTCCCCAAGCCACCTCGTCCACGAGTCTCAATCCCCCGTGCCACAATGGCTGACCTCTCACTTGGTCCGCTGCGGATTGCGAATCCCGATGATGCCTCCCCCGATACGCCATTGCAGCCTCAACCGCCCGCACCTCAGTTCCCCCGGGTTTCGCCTCTGGTCGACGCCGATGGGAGGACAGATTATATGTCCGCCACCCCTCAGCGCTCTCACAGCCCTGTGTCCCCAATGGAGTCCGAGACCGGGCCCGAAGACCTCCCATCCCACGCGGTAGCTCCCTCGTCGCTCTCGTCAATACCATCATCTACGCCTACGCAACCTCCCTTCATCCAAAATAATGCATCCGCCGAGCGGCTCGCCCAGCGACCAAACATCCCTTATAGCTATCAAGATCAGCAACAAGCACAATTCCCTCAATATCCTACCATGATGCCTCAGAACCTACACGATCCCAGGTCGAATGCCTCACGTCCGGGTTCCGCATATTACACTCAGTTGCCGGTCAACGGTTCAGCTGCCAACGGGGTTTCCCGACAAGGATCGTATAGAGTCCGGAGCGATGGGTCAAGCTCCACAGGATTTCCTCAACGGACATCCTCAAAGCGCTCGGGACTGGGAGACGTTGCTGGAGTTCCGTCCAGAGACGATAGTCACACAGAAAGAGCATATGGTCAAGGACAATATACCCCAGGCAACGGACCCTTACCTCCGCGGAGAACTTCTCGAGGTGTGCCAGGCCCTCGTATGGGAAGCACACCGACCGGCAACACACCCCTCTCCACCACACCTATTTCCATACAGACACCCTTATCAAGTTCCCCGTACAACATGGAAGACCGTCCCCTAACCAGCGCCGAGGAGTGGCAAGAGCGTGGAGCCGCCGTCGGAGTAAAGAAGGAGATTGGAGCAGATGGCACAGTAGCTTATAAACCGGTCAAGAAAGGTGTGAGGGACTTTAATTTCGGCCAGACGCTCGGAGAGGGCTCTTACAGTACCGTCCTCGCCGCTACAGATCGCGCCAGTGGAAGACAGTATGCCATCAAGGTACTAGACAAGAGGCATATCATCAAGGAGAAGAAGGTCAAATACGTTAACATCGAGAAAGACACCTTGAACCGCCTGACTGACCACCCGGGCGTTGTGAGACTGTACTACACCTTCCAAGATGAGCGATCTCTGTACTTTGTGCTGGATTTGTGTCCCGGTGGAGAGCTGCTCGGAGTTCTGAAGCGGATGTCGACCTTTGATGAGGAGTGCACTCGATTCTACGGCGCACAGATACTGGACACCATTGAGTATATGCATAGCCGGGGCGTCATTCATCGCGATCTGAAACCTGAAAATCTCTTGCTCGACGAAAACATGCATATCAAGGTCACCGACTTTGGAACGGCCAAACTGCTGCCTGAAAGACGGAACGCCGAAGGCAGAGTGGATTTCGAACCCGACTCCACCTCGACCGAAAACAGGGCCAACTCCTTTGTGGGCACTGCAGAGTATGTGAGTCCCGAGTTGCTGACCGACAAGAATGCATGCAAGGCCAGTGACATGTGGGCATTTGGCTGCATCATTTATCAACTGTTGGCGGGACGGCCGCCTTTCAAGGCCGTCAACGACTATCAGACCTTCCAGAAGATTGTTGCGCTCGACTACGAGTTTCCACGAGGATTTCCTGACGTTGCCCGGGATTTGGTCGAGCGTTTGCTGGTGCTCGACCCCCAAAGACGGTTATCCATCGAACATGCAAAGAACCATTCTTTCTTCACCGGCATTCGGTGGGGTCGAGACTTGTGGAAGCAGAAAGCCCCGCGGTTAAAGCCATATGTTCCTCCTGCAGCACCACCTATCAAACTCAACGGCAGCAGTGCACAAGACAGCTATCCGCCAGACATCATTCCCGGCCACAGCACGCATCCGACGATGCTCCCTCCCAACAACCAAAAGCCGCAGCCGAGAGTCGTTACAGAACTCCCGCCGCCAAGCCAACTCGACATCGAATGGTCCCCGGTCCTCACGAGAAATAACGAGAGGATTCTCAAGCTGGGCAATCTGACTGTGTTGTCGACGCCCAACCCTCACAGTCCTCACGGTAACGAGGGCGGGGGCAAACTGTCGAGATTGTTCGGCGGCAGCAACACCAAGAAACGGCAAAGGCTTGTTATGGTGACCTCGAGCGCCAGGATCATTATTGCCGCGGCTGGTGGGGAGGACAAGAAGCCGAAGTCGGAAATCTCGCTCCTCTCGCCAGGGACGGAATACTCCAGCGCGACCGATTCAAAGGGAGTGACGCAATGGATTGTCAATACCGTAAGTTCCACGTGAGGGTAGTGATAGAGAATGGGGAACTGACACATTGAGCAGAAGGACCGACACTATGTTTTTGAGGACCTAAAGCCCCAGTCAGGTGAACCGATGGCCACGGCGCTTGCGGCGCAGGAGTGGCTGGACGTGTTAGGACGAGCACGAGAAATTGCCCTATCCTCGCAGAACGCCAACAACAGTTACTCCAACGACGACGCCCTCAATCTCTCGTCCTCGGCGTTGTCGAGCCACGCTAGCACTATTGATCAACCGACGGATCTCAGTCCTCACAACGCAAATCAATCACATTCTGGGCGAGGAATGCTGCACAAGCAACATTCCGGCGGCGACGCAGAGTCGCTGAAAGGGAGAAAGCGGTTCAGCAAGCGGCAGTCCAAAAGTGGACTGACTGCAGTCTTTTAGAAAGCAGTCGTCGAGCAGAGAAGCGACGTCTGTGGCGTTGCGGGTTTCCCTGTGCATTTCTTGACCCTGAATTAGCATAGCATGGCACAACTTGCAGGCGCGGTCAGCATGGCGATTGGGGGGTGGGAAAAGAGCCTCGACGAAATGGCCTACATATGCAGCGTCGTCGAGGGTGCATTTGTAGAGAAAGGGCTTTTGAAAGATCTAGAGAGGATACTAGGTATATACCAACAGTACTCCGCCCTGACCCTGTAACCCTCGGGCGGTTTGTCCGGGCGCTCTGTGTGCGAGCACGAATGATCACTGGCGAGTATTAAAAGGGCCTGGCCTTTGACTGATCCATTTGATTCTGCTTGTTCTAGCTGATTGTTTAGCGCCCTGTGTTGTCCGCAAATGAGATGGGGGCGTTGGCTGGTGGTGCTTGTGCCTTGGTTCAGCTTGGAGCACGACTGGCTGACAGGGACTGGACAGACTGGACTCGAGCGGCAGGTCCCTCCAACCAGGCACTTCTACCCAGTAATAGTGATCCCAGACTACTCCCCATCTGGCCTGCCCTTTTCTGCTCCTTCGCCACTTCTCTGTCCCGCGGTAGCCTCTTCAAGCCACTTCGACCCAGGCCACAAGGCGGCTTTGCACACCATGGCGCGCAAGAGACAAGACGTCGCAAAGGTGTGCTTAAACATCTTGACAGGTGCTACCAACCCCGAAGGCAATTAATCAACCCCTCGACTGCAGTGCTGCAACGCGCGAAGTTGCGTCGACAAGGTCAACCAGTTTCAAGGGCTTGTCTGCTGAGAAACGTCCTGTGACGCCCGTGACCACGCCCGACTTCGGTGGGCGACGATCGAAGGCAGCTTCGCGAGGCAGAAGCAGCGGCTTCTATACAGGGGAACAAAGACTGCGACCGTCTTCCACATGAGCTTCTCTCGAATACGAACAGCTCCTGATGAACGCCGTACTGGGTGACATGACATGAACCAGCAGCCTGTGCCACAAGCGCCTTCTCGCCCCGTCCAGCAAACAAACCCAACCTCAGTTCTACCGATGGTTTCACGCGCAGAGGTCGCAGAACACCCTCACTCCCGCTCCCTCTCCCAATCTCGAGGCGCGCCTTCTGTTGCTTCCCGCACCTCGCGATCGAGGCATCATCACCACCGAGGTCGCTCGCATTATGGGGGCTCCTCTCATGTCCCACAGAATGAGTTTCCCTTCTTTGCACAGACCGGGGATGTCGAGATAGTCATAGCATGCGATGGTCAAGAGAAGAGGTACCTGCTACACAGTTTTACGTTGGCCCAATTTTCGGGCTTCTTCCAGGCCAGCACAAGCGAAGAATGGTCTCGAGGGCAATGGCAACAAGGTGGGCGCAATGTGACGTCTGCTTCGCGACCTGGCCAGGCGTTGAGTGATATCGGGGAGGAATCTTCTCAGGTCAGCTCTACTCCTGGACCGTCTATTTCCGCGCCTCCACCAGCATCGGCACCGGCTCCTGCACCGGCTCCTAGCCAGCGGCGGAGATGGAGGTATGAACTCGACTGGGAGGATCTTGACGAGGACGACGAGCCCATCCTGGTTCAAAAAACTCCGGAGGGCAGTGTTTTCACCGCCGCAGCACCGCCGCCGCCTTCTTCTCAACCAGAACGCCCAAGACATCAACCCATTCATTCATCCTTTTTCCGTTCTATGGCCAACTTGACCCTTTCTCACCACACCCCGGCTTCTCAATCCAGCGCTCAACTCGCCGCGGCCCCTCCCGACCCATGCCTCACGAACCCGCTCCTCAGAGACTATGATAACCTCTTTCGCATTTTTTACAACTACGCTCCGATTTTAAACTCCTCCAACATCGCCTCCGCCTATTCAGAATGCAGGGCTCTCCTTTCGCTTGCAGACATGTACGACGCTCTTTCCGTGGTTGGACCTCGAATCGACCATCACCTCTTGCGTTTCTCATCCCGGCTCTTCAAGCAGATTGCCAAATATCCGCCGTCGTACCTCAAGCTTGGCTACCTCGCAAGAAGTCGAATCATCTTCTCTGAAGCCCTGACCCACGTAGTAGGCCAATGGCCAGCCGCCCTGCCGCACATCAAGCCACCCACTCACTCTGGTGGAGGATATGAAGTGCCTCAATCAGTGATTGATCTGATCGAAGACAAAGTCGACGAACTTGAGGAGTTGAAGCAGAAGATCGAAACGAAGTTGTTCAGGTTGACTCTGACCACGACTCGCGGTGAGAGGGTGAACCCGGCGAATGATTATCTTGGCTGGTTGGCCGTCAGTCTCTGGCGCCAGTGGTTGGCAGAGAATACAACGCCTGAGATTAGAGGGATATTGAAAAACAGCCCAAATTCGAGACCTGGTAGCGGACATGCGAATCCAAACATACCTCCGAGTCCGCAAGGTCGACCACCGCCTCCTCCCTATCAACCTCATGCGCCTGTTCCATCGGCAATCAATACCGGCCGCATCTTTCGCTTGATTGGTGCTACCAACCCCGACACATTTCTCGCGCACGATGAACTAAAACGCTTCCTCAAGCTTCCACCCCCCGGCTCTACTCACTCTCTCTACAGTCGCGAAAATCTACGACGATTCGAGCGCAAGATTGACGAGATCAAGAACGTCGCTAGAGATATTGTGAAGCCATTGACCAGGAACTGCCTCGAACTGGATTTGAGGAGTCTGAGTGACGGGGGAGGTGGAGGACTTGGATACTTGACGTGTATGAGGTGCGAGGAGGACGAACTGCCCTGGGAGATTTGACGCAAGACAAGTTTGATGGCTCAATGCCGAGGGAGAAAAAGGAACTAAGTGAACGCTCGGCCAAGCCCACATCTGTCGAAAGAGAAGACGCCCTTTCACGCAGTAAAATACAGCCATCGACGCCACCAATCGTCAAACTTTCGGATCTCATCATACTTGTCCAGCCACAAAGCTCTACAAACTTCACCCCCTCAGGGCCTTCTTTGACCCCAATCAAGTCCTTGATCCCCAGAAAAGCATGATTCACAACCAACTATTTGTTTCACGATTCCCTCTTGACGAATGATCCCACGAATCTCCTTTATTTAGGATTGATATCAGTTTGAGATTTTCCTGGTTTTGGTTGCGATTGAAATTTATGCCATGAGCCGAGCGACTGTGCGGTACTATATACTGTCGAAGAGGAATATCAAAAACAACGATAGTTGAGGAGAAGGGGGACACAAGCGTCCGTTCATCATTGGAAACGAAAACCATGAGACAGGTGTAGATATATCGGTGTCTTTGCGCCTGTATAGGTAGACACTTGATGGACATTGAGGATACCCTTTATGACATTCATATTCATGTTCATGTTCATATTCCTAGCAATACCACCCGACCCTAACCTTTTCCATCCGTCCATTCTGATGGTCTAGTTGTCTCTTTTACTCTCCGTCTCCCGAACTCACTTACTCCCCGTCTGTGTGTGTGGTCCCCGCCAGCTTCAACAAATCCATTCATCCACACGATGTATCTCTACACCCATTTCCATTCCCGGTCTTGGTCTTGGTCTTGCTGCGGTCCTTGCTCCGGGACCTCGCCTCGCTCGACGAGGCTCGTGCATTCGCCGTGCTTGAAGACGTGGTCCAATCGCTCTGCAGCGTGGGGAATCTGATGTTGATGTTGGTCCAGTCCCAGGCGTTTCTGCGGCCGAGGTGGCCGCTCTGGCGGAAGGGGAACCAAAAGGAGCTTACGGGAAGGTCTTGGAGATGGCGGATCTCTGTTGCATCTGCGTCTGTGTAATGGTGTGTACCTCCTTCTCCTTCTCCTTCTCCTTCTCCTTCTCCTTCTCCTTCTCCTTCTCCTTCTCCTTCTCCTTCTCCTTCTCCTTCTC